ATTATCAAATGCAGGCCGAAGCCATTACATAAACAGAAAAGAATCGCAAGGCCTAATCTACGTTGATTATCGCCCCGACTCCTTCCTCTTATGGAGTTCTCGCCTCATCATGAGAAGACTCCTCTTCTGCTACTGGGCGATCCCCGGTAGGTTCACCAAACTCCTCTTCGAGGAACCCGATGTCCAGGTTTGTGCGCCTCTCCCTTAGGCGAGAAATCATTTCCTGGGCAGCCCAGGAGGCCCAGTAATTGGCGAAGTCATCATACTCCGACGTCTTATCAAAATTGTCCTTATAATCTTGGACCACCGCTTCGCCGATTGCCTTCACTTCGGCCTCCAAAGAGGCTATCTTTCCGGCCTGGGCCTCAGTGAGTTTCTTCAACTATCCCCTCTCCTTGTTCGCCTCCGCCAGAGCATCTGAGGCCATCCGCTGGTGTTCATTGGCGTCGTCGATCCTTTTTGTTAAAGTCGCCGCTTGAGAAACGGACTCGTGGAGCTCGTTCTTGTACTGATTGACTTGGATCTCAGCCGCGTCCAGCTTTGTGGCAGTAGTTATCCACTTCTCCTCCACCTCCTCAACTTCTTTCCTGGCCTTGGCCACCTCGGCCTCCCAGGTTTCCGAGGCTTTGAGCTTCTCTTCCAGCTCGTCATTCCTCTTGCGGAGGCCTTTAACCAGATGTTCTTCCGCGGCTCCCATTCTCATGGCCCTAGCCACGTAGGCGTTTTTGGCAGCCAGTAGGTCCTCCACTCCGCACGAAGAGGCATGGTTGGCCCAATCGTCAGTCCAGTACTTGCTGTGGAGCCTCATTGTCGAAGTGGTCTCTGGAGGGAGCATCTCCAGCACAGCCTCCGAAAGGTCATCGTCCTTGCTCCCCAAGAAGTTAGTGGCTTTGCCGTTAGCCGAGGTATTGGCGGGTCGCTTCTGCTTCTTTTTAACCGGGCCTTCAGCGAAGTAGGCAGTTATAGGCACTATGGCCAGAGGAACAGTTGAAGGGGCTCCCGAGGGGCTGAAATAGATGCCCCTGCTGGGCCGACCTTCCTCTTCTTCACCAGAGGAACTCCTTCATCCGCCTCGTTTTCAGGGGGCAGAGGGGCCCTGCTCAGAGACAGAAAGCGCTCCGACTGCTTCTTATATGCAGTCGAGCTTGTCCTTAACATCTTCGCTTCCAGCACACTCCGGCGGATTATCACGAAGTCAGGCCTCGGCGCCTTCTTCTTCCCGAAATCTCTTCCAAAAGGAAAAAAGGGGCAAATGGGTAAGCACTTGTGATGAAAACAAACAAATGGAGAGCTGAAGCGAGACATTTACCTTGGCTCGACATCAGTCCGTGAGCGACGAAGTGGGTGTTCTTATCGATAATTTCTTTGTGGCTCCTCTCCTTTGGAGGTAGCTGGTAAAGCTGGCCAATGATATCCCACTCCTCCTCAGATATTTCACACCTCGGCAGAGAACCTGCAAACGATGTATATTAAAAACATGAGTGGATATGTAAGTAAAATCAAATCGGGAAAGAAACTTACTGTAAGTCGAGTATGAAGTAGGAACAGTAAGAGGCGCCATGGGGTCGCCCTCCATAGTATCCCACCTCCCAGCTACCCAA